TCAATTACTCTATCTTCTATGATATCATCTGATCTAAATAAGATAGAATTAAGATAGAATTACTTAATCTAGATCTATATCATAGCATTTCCGCCCAAAACCATCCATTTGAGGGTGGCCGGATAGCCCCCGATCCCACTTCTCGTTTCGCACCGATGAAGAGACGAGCCTCGTCATGGATCCGTTGGGTCGCACGACCGCGCCGAGCGGAACGGCCCCGGACATGGAGGGTGTTCGAACACGGCCTGGATTCAACAGAATTGGATCAATATGTTAATTCAAGTCCATCTTGGAATATGGGTGTATGTGTGTATGGAAATAGGGAGACCTCCCAGTTCGACCCCCTGAATTCGGTTCGGTTAAGGACCCCAAGCGATGCCAAAGAAGAAGGCAGGTACGTCAGACGTGCGCCACTGCACGCGACGACGTTCGGGCGTGCCAACGTTCGGCCGAGTCCGATCTGCAAAAAGGGAAGGCTACACGAAGTAGCTCCACGACCCTCCTTCCCTGGGCAAGTGGACATCGCCAAGCAAGCCAAGCTGCCGATGGTTTCATGCCGGATGGATCTCATGGACAGAACTGAGTCTGAAAGGGACCTGGGTACCTGGTCTCTCTACTGCTCTGCTTCAAACGCGGACGGGTGACTTTACCCGTGCGCTTCTAGGGAAGGTGGGGTCCTAAGCCTGCGAAGACCTTTCCATGTGAGTTCCAGGGAGAGTCTTGAGTCTTGGACCTCTTGGACCCAGTTCAGGATCGGATCCCGAGACCGAATGAGTCCTGAAAGACGTGGATGTCTTGAAAAAGTAGGTCCAAACATCAAGTTTTAAAGAGCAGAAGATAGAATATTATGAACCAATCCCAAAGCATGACCAGTTTCCTTTTAGATTTGTTGGATGTTTCCCATATATTCTGTATATCTACTCCAGGATGACTATTGTATAAGATACAAAAAGGCAATGCTGCGTCTATTCAGGCACAACCTCTTTGCAGGACTGTTGTTGGTGGATTCCGGACAATCCGAAACCATTATGACCTACGATCACTACCTCGAAAAAGCAAAGATCCACGATGCATCCCTCGGGCGGCTTGGCACATCTCAAGAGAACAGGCAAAAGCCCGATGGCAATGGGCCGAAGGAATGTAGAATTTCATTCTGCAGTCAACCTATCAACCCTTGCAACACCTGTAGAAGTTCCAAGAGGTCTTCCTTCTCCGACGGTTTTGTTAGGCCGTCCCTTCCCGTCTGACGTGGGTGCCACGGCTCCGTCTGCACACCGCCAGCGTGCAGAAAGAAGGGATGGTCCAAACTCATGAGCACGCCTTCCCTCTCCTTGGGAGACCTCCCATGGAGAAGCTCTTGTTTTGAAACATTTGTATAGCTCCATGGGAGATCATGGGAGTGCTCGAACCCTTTCCTCAGAAGGTAGACAGCCAAATCTACCCCAACAACCTTCGAAGCGGAGGTAAAGAAAAGGGAAGTGGGTGGACGAAGAAGTGACAACGTCTGGACAACAGCCAAATGGGACCCTTCGTTCCTGGCCCATTGATTTCATGGTAGCTGCCAAACAACCAATTGTCTCACTAAGAGTTAAAAAATAATATATATATATATAACACCAGGTCAACCTTTATGTTAAAAGGTCTTTGAAGGCTAGGGATGACGCTTTAAGCATCTTCTGGCCCTCCCTTGATTTGGGGAAAGGAGGCAGGTCATGAACTTTGACCTACGTTCACCGAGCAGAGTCTAGAGCTGTTTGTCCATGCTTGCCCAGTGGCATGTTTCGCAGTGCCCCAATTCTGCGATTTGAACTGTATAGCTGTAGCTCTACCTGCAGGAACATAGTATACTATTCACACATTATATTTGTTATATACTACGATTCTCATTATGTTATATATATATATATCAAGCGGAAGGAGTTGATCTCCACCAAACAGCAACCCTGGAATGCCCTGATTTACGCTGATGAGTGTAAAATGTGTTTCAAGGGACATATTTGGAAAAGACTTTGAGGGAACAGCCCCATACTGATAGCCAATCTACTGCAAGGACATGGAGGTTCCCTTTTTTCAACCTTCGGATGGTGCTTTGTTTTCCAGTGTCACGAGAGCTACTGACTGTCTCATTCCTCACGCCCTTCGATCTGCCACACTTCGTGTCAGCTACGGACCACGAAACAAGTTCGTGCCCGCGCTGCGGCGCTCGAGGGTCCCTTGAGGCGCCCGAGCAGCGCCCGATCTGCGGCCGCACCATTCGGAGTGCATCAGGGGACGGCAGGACTCGGGGTGATAGACCAAAAGCAAAACAGCTGGAGTCTTGATGGTTTCGATCCAAACATGTGCAGGGTCACCCCACATCCAACTCATATCATATATAATTACCTGGACCCTCCAACAGGTCACCACCTGACACTTTTAAGTCTACAAAAGAAACAATACAACAATACGCCTACCCTAGAAGTCCACTTCGACCCAGTTAGACGACATTCGGCCCAACAAGTAAAGATCATTCCTGAAATGGGGATCACCGTTCGTCAGACCATGTTTAAAGATGTTTAAAGTTGCTTCCCAGGGCCACAGAAGTGTAGGGTGACTGGCTGTTTGGCCAGGACACTGGAGTCTCGAAGACTCTGCGGGTGTGCCATGACTTTGCCCGGGTTTGTACCCCTCCCTCCAAGCTACACACTGCAACCATTGAATTAGCCTGTGAGGGGCTGAATCACGTGGGGAGCAGTCCCAAAGTACTTGTTTGACCCACATTGGTTTTTCAAGCAGGGCACTGGTCCCATTCACCAGATTGAGTAGACTGTCCCAATAAAGCAGTTTAGAGGCTCCAATCATCTCCAATCACGTCCTCAGAAGGTAGTTAGTAGATACCCCCCGCTGGCACCCACCCCAACCACCCAACTGAAAATGGAGGTCAGCCAGGAGCCCAGTCAATTGTAGACGTGAAACAGTCAGCTCTGCTGGTTGCCCAGTCGGATCTGGTCAACTTGGAAAAGGTGTGCAAATCATCGTGTTGGAGGTCAAAAAAAGCAATCTGGGTCTCTGAAGCTTGGATTTGCTTAAGGAGCCTGGAAATCATCAAACATATTCTCCAGACGCGGATTTACCCATAGGGCACATAGAAATCACCTTCAGTAAAACCTAGGAAGGCAGATCAACCGCTGCCGTCTTTGTTTACATGTCAATAATCTCCCTCAAAACAACATCGATTTGGGAATTTGGGGCTGATGTTGGCCCCATGGACGTCTCGAAGGATGTGAAGCACAATTCGGTTGACCACTTGTCGAAATTCCACTTGGACCACCTGCCCACAAATGGATCCATATACTCAAGCTGACTGAGAAGGTGATGCATACTCTCTGATGGAGGATCCAGTCGGACCTGAGAAGTGAGCACTGGATCCCTATGGCTTCAACAGGATCCCTAGGTGTCTCTCCTTTGTTTGAAGCTTTGAGACCTGCCTCCCAAAAGGGGTGAGACGAGGCCGCCGACCTGCCGTTCGTGGTATTTGGGATCCACCATTCGCCTCCGGCTGAAGCACCGCCGGGAGGTGGTTCCCGCGCTGATGGAAAGAAACGGGATGAAAAACTGACGAAGAAAGGGCGCACGAAGAAGACACGAAGGTGAAACTGAGAAACTGAGAAAGGTGAAACTGAGAAACTGAGAAAGGTCCTTCTTGTCTTTTGTTGGGTTTTGTTTGTTTGTCTTTGTTTGGCTGGAATCTGGAGGAAGCAAAAAATGCGGCACCTTTTCTTCGGAATGGAACAATCAATCCCTGGAGCCAGGTGTGTTTTGCGAGGACTTGAGGAACCATGAACAGAACATGGAAAGGAGCTATTTCTACCTATCCTCAACAATCCATGATGTATGTCATTGACCCTCAAAACATCTTGAAACCACCCTAGTGTCCCCAACTCTTAAATAATTACATGGAGTGTCTGGGTACGGAAGCCTTGTTGGACAGGTTTGGAAGAGGGATTGACTATAGAGTTTTATCGGAGGTTGTCTTTGGTACTTGGACCATTTATGTGGTCATATGTGCTCAGTTACTTTTTCAGAAGTGCCAGCTGGCACATCTATAGAAATCCCTACCCTAAGAATCCTTGGGTCCTCCATGGCAGGGTCAGACCCTCTATAGCAGGGGTCTGCACCCTCCAAACCCTTTCCATTGGTTCCGGCCCAGATTCTTAGGGTGGGTGGGCATCCAATGACCTCCTGAAAAGGTGCTATTCGGAGGAGTTGGCGGCCGTGACGACCTTATGAGGTAGTTGGAGCCACAATCAGTAGCAAAAAAGTTAAAAAAATAACCTTGGCATTACGCCCGTGCACCACAACGTCCGCCCTGTGATTGCAACCAGGAGTCAATGCTAGATGAGGCCCAGCCGCTGCCGGAGCATCATAAGGTCCTGGATTTGTCGAAAAGAAGTCTCACAACCTGGATTGAACACATTGAACCAGGTCGCGGCGGAGGTCTGTTTTGGCGGGCAGGCCTCATTCCGAGCAAACCTAAGAAACATAAACAAACACGTCCATGCAACTCAAAGACCCCTCTGACACTTCAATCCACTACGGGCCCAACTCATCGGCGCAGCGCAGGGCGCGCCCTGCGCCGTGGTCAGGTGAAGCGTCGATGATCTGAGCTGATTGAGATCGGCCTGATGATGGTCTGGTGGTCCCAAACAGATAGGATTGCACGGTGTCTAATACATTTTGAGCGGGGAGATGTGGGGATCTAGTCTACTGTTCTATCTATTTGGGGGTCTATATAGGAGGTGAAACTATTCCAACCTGCTTTAGAGAAAGCCTGGACTGCCATGTCTAGCATGTCAGGTCTCACAACGAACAGCTCGAGATCTTTTTTGGTTCAGGCCTCTGAGGGTGGGAAAAACACAAAATGGGTTCATAGCTTTAGCTGACAGACTCTAGACTCTAGGTGTCTAAACTAGATTCTTGGGTTCTAGACAAGGTCTTCTAACATCTTCTAACAGTGAGCTTTAGGTGACAGACTCTAGAATTGACACCACTGGCCTTGGCTCTCGCCAGCAGGCCCTGACCTTGTAGAGGGGACTAGAATTGGCCGCCACCCTGCGAGGACCGAAATCGCATGCGATCAGGTCCTTCTTAATGCAAACCACATCAATGGATCGGGCAGGGCCCTTGATCATCATGCAGCCTTCCAAAAACCTGGAGATCGAAGAATGGCCCACAAGACCATGGAACCGGAACCCATTGCCCATGTCCGATCATGTTGGACTGTCTCTCGCTGTTCAGGGAGAGACTATGAGAACTACTCTATGGAAGATCTTCTTGGTCTAGGATCCAAATGTCAGTACCCCTAGGGCTCCAAGTACCTCCTCAGAAGGTATCTGGACCCTCCTGGCACCCACCCCAGTCCCACCTTCTCAGAAGGTCCTTGGAGCCCTAGGGGTACGAATTTTGTTGGGTACTCCTCTCTGGGTCGGGCGCCCATCGGGCGACTCGCTTTGGGGTCGGGCGCCCATCGGGCGTATCGTCCAGTGGCAGCCGGAACGAGGGCGATGCTGTCGAAAACCCAAAGAATGCGTCTTTAACCATCCTTGCATACACCAAAAAGACCATGCGATCTTGCAGAGCAGCTCGTCCGTAATCTGGGTCTTGAATCTAAGTAAGACCCATTTCCTGATCTGTCTACTGATCTTGGGTTCTCGGAAGGCCTTTCATCGAAGCAACGCTGCAGACATCCTTCACCCCACACACGACACGGTGACCATCGTCCATCGCCAAGCAGCTCGTCGACATCCACCTCCCCGCTTCCATCGCGGTCCAATTGTCCTGCACCGCGTCCGGTCCGAGAACGGTCGCACGGTGCGGGGCACTCTCTCTCCTTGGCCCGTTCGGAGAGGGGATGCCCCTGTCGACGTAGAACAACCATTGATTTATATACAGTTTGTACCGAACAACCACCGTCTTGGTCCGACCCAAGTGGTGTCGTCCTACCGATCCGGTTCCCAGTGAGGTCACATCTGATCACTGGGATCCGGTCGCAAAGAACACTAGAACACTCTTGCTTGCAAAGGGAGTCGATGAAGTGTCAGCGCTGACGCACGCGCTCTCCAGAGGGCGATCCTCTGGCCCCCGGGTATAGAGTCTATACTATACCGACCGGTCGATCGATTCTCCTTCTTCCTTGGGGGTCGAACTGGGAGGTCTCCCTTTTCTGAATCACACCTATTACCTGTATAGTTGTTACACCAGTCATGCTTCTGAAAGGCGGGCATATGGTGGCATTCTCTGAAATGAAGCTGCAAACAGCCTCTTGGTGGTGGAAAGCTGTCTTCTTCACCCCTCAGTGGACACATGCGTCCTTTGCAACCAAAATCACATGCCTCATGTCCTTGACACACCCAATGGATCCAAAAAAAAACAAGGTGGTTCCAAGCTGGATCTCTGATGATTCTTTTTCACATCTTGTTGATGGATAAAGAACAGGACTGGAGGATGCAAAATAAACCATTCCGGTAGAGGGAAGAAGGTGGTGTTCTTCCTCAAAGGTCAAAAGTGTGCCATGAATGTGCGAAGCTCTCCCTAAGAATCTTGGCCGGTTTGGAGGGTTGGGACCCCTGAGAAAGTGTCGCGTTGGTTCGCCCCTGCCATCAAGGGCTCGTTCGGAGTCGACGATTGAGGGCAGAACAGCTCCTCCCCGTGGAGTGGACACCGATCCAAACCCCCAAACCCCTCCAAAGGAGTCAGGGTCGAACCGAGCTCTCCCGCGTCAGGGTCGAACCTTTCTCCCACCCCCCAACTCGCTCGCTAACGCGCAGCCGCGGACTGCGAGCAACGAGCGGCGGAAAAGATCCCAGGCATCGGTGCTGCTGATCTCCAAAGCGTCGAAGACCTGGGAAGCGTCGCAGATCGGAGGACTCCCAGGAATTGATGCCATAGACAGGACCTTCCTTCGGTGTCTATAAAGAGCCTCTTAGAGGTGATTTGGGGTGTCCAAAAAACACCTGTTGGAAGGTCCTGGGATATATCTGTTTTGTTGATTTAGTTAGTCTAAGTATTGGTTATTCGATGTTATTTGTAGTTTAATGCATGCTTGGTACTATGATTCTTACCCTACTGATATCAGCACACAACCTCCAACAGGGGCCAACCACCAACGAGGATACCTGTAGAGTCGGGTGCTGGTCTTAAGATTCAATAATGTAATATATACCCTAGGGCTCCAAGGACCTTCTCAGAAGGTGGGAGTGGGGTGGGTGCCAGGAGGGTCCAGATACCTTCTGAGGCGGTACGACTGGAGCCCTAGGGATATATATATATATATATATATACCAGCACCTTCAAAGGGGTCACCTGGCTGGAAGCCCCTACACTACTAAGGGACCTCAGACAGGACACCCCGAAAGAAGGTCCAGGTATATATATGCATAAATTATATATCTAGTATGACCTACATTGGGCTGGTTTCGACCAATATATGTGGAGTCTTTTGTCCGTCCACCGGGTGTCAAATACGTGGTGTGCGGCTCGGGGCTGAACGAATTGATATCCGGCTCGGGGCTGTCATCCCTTCGGGTTCCGAAGCAAAAGGCTGCGATCGTTCCCCACTATGGTTCTCTTTTGGTGCTTTGAAAGTCCCTATGTAAGCTCAGTTGTCTACTCAGCAGTCACATGTCGCGGCAGGCCGTCTGTTCGGACTCAAAATCATCGGAAGCATAGCGCATAGACCAAACGAACGGTCGGGCCCCTGGATAAAATATCCTGGTTCCTGATGTAGAATCTTGATTCATCAACCCCCCATATAAAGAAGTGTTTCAATCCAAATGGGGAAGATGAATTAGTGGCTGCCTGGGACTAGAGTGGCTGCCTGGGACTTCTGAGAGATAGTGCGTTAAGGTGGTAGTATCAACTGGGGCTCATGTGACGAAGGGGGGCCAGGGTGGACTAGACTGACTAGACCAACTGACTAGACCAACACACTACGAGTTGCTTCACATACACTCCCAACCAAACTGGTGTCCGAGTCTCGGCTCCTTGTGTCAATCTTCCAACCGAACATGGATCTTTTTGGAATACAGGCCCATTCAGTGAGCTTTCAAGCTTCAAATCCCATGCGTTCGTCCGTTTCACCAAACAGGGTAGGAACGGCAAATCAATCCGACAGCGAGGCTGGTGAAACCGAGAACACGGTGAACACGGTTTGGAGTCGCGTCCATCCTCAAAACAATGGAAGGTTGACATCCCTGGCCATCATTTTCATGTCCAGACCATCCCTTGGACTGGAATAGTTACTTACATTCATTAAGGCCATAAATGGGGTAGATATGGGTATATAAATTAATTTATATGTGACTAACCTTCAATTGTTCCATACGTGAGATGAGTCAACCAGGGACCCACAGCGGACTGTCCAACATGTCCAACCAGCTCCGGAGCCGGGTCCACTCGGATCGCAACCGACCCAGGGACTCCACGGACGACACGCCCTGGTCACCATGGTCGCCATCGCCAGGACACCGTTTGGAGCACCGGATCCTTCCACGCTCGTTCGAACTCCTTTCGGGTGATGCCTGGCCGTGGGGCGTGGGCTTCGACCGAGCAGCGAGAGGGGAGGGGCGTCTCGCGGGATCTCCGATCTCTTGGATTGGATCTACGTCTGCACATGTTGGAAGCATCTCAAAGCAGAACAGGTTGGTGAAGAAAATCAGGAACCTCTTATACTCTTCTTCCCTCCTCCACACCGTGGCAAATAGTGATTTGCCACATCCGCGCGCGAGTTCCGCCTCCGTCGGAGTTCTGGTCCAGCTGTGTAAACAGTCGGCGCACTGCGCGGAAGTATTTCTCCTTCCTGGGCGGACAGCCGGGTCTGCCACACACGGTCACTCCGTCTGACTGTCGCCCTCGTCTTCCGGGGGATTGGGCATCGATAACACGAGGGGCTTCGATGGATGTCCTCCCGCAGTAGGAAGTCTCGGAGCCGAAGCAACTGCTACATGGCGCCATGGGTCAAGGTAACTGACCGACCGGCTTTTCCCACCAAAGATGAACAGAATAGACTACAAAGGAGGTCAACCTACCAGGGATTAGGGTTTGGGGTTTTGACCCACAACCACATCTTTGAGGGTGCTTAAGTCCAACACCCGAGCGAGTTCACCCGGACCCGCGAAGGGGGGTTGGGTCCCTAACTCTGAGCCCTTGAAGATGATTCAGGATGTTTCATGGAACATGTCTGAGCTGAAAACACATGCCTGGACCATTTCTGATCGGAGAAAATGCCTCTCAGTCTTGCTCATTCTTCCTGGGGTTCACTCCAAAGAGGACGGAACCAAGGAGTGAAGACGGGGAAGACTTCCAATGCAAAGAACCTGGACCCGCAAGGGACACCCCTTGACCTCTAAGGGGCTATTAATGGACACCCTTTCCGTGGTGCTGGAAGTGGTTGTCTTGTTGGCTGTTGGGCTTTCCAAAATCGCTTGCAAATCTAGGTAATTCCCTTCCTGTCCGGGTCATGGCTGCGCATTTCGCGGAGCAAGAAGAGTTTGGGGATTGTCACTTTTACATGACCCAGGTAGCTCGCAATCCACAACCTATTGCTTGGCTTCAAATTCAAGTATGCAGGATGTGGATCAGTTCGACAACCAACATGTTGAGTGGTTCCAATTCAAACCCATTCGAGGATGTCTGGGTGACTTTAAGCCATGCCCGTGGAAGAAACCACTTTTACTCAAAGGGAGTCTCCAACTCAAGTACAGGGGGGTTAAGACCTTTCCCCACTCACCATGACTTCTGAACGGAGTTGCACAAGGATGATGTGCAGCTCCTCAGTGGGCCTCCTGAGGATTCAGGTCTGAACGATCCCCAAGGTTTGAAAGATCTCCAAGCTGCTCTTGGGACACCGACTCCAAGTTGAGTTCGTGATCCTCGCCGCAGATGAGTCTTGGAACCCCACGTGCCCAGACGAGTTTCTTGAACGAACATGTGCGGAACCGTGGGGCTTGGTGCCCTCCAACGAGGTGGAACAAGTGCATTTGACGAAGATAGAACAACATAAAACTACCAGCACCCTCCAACAGGTGTTTCCTGGAGGCGACAGGTGCCCAGAAACCACCTATTGGAGGGTCCTGGCTATGTAAGTTTATCAGTTTATCACCTTCAATTCTAGCAGCTGAATGTCCCGCTGAAGTCACCCTCATCCTTCACTTGGTAGTTGTACTTGTGCTATCAGCTGCATGGTGGTAAACGAAGTGGTCTTGGCTAATGTGCGGAACATATAACCAGTCCAATAAAAATTGAACAAGCGGTGACAGTGATGAATGGAAACTCTCGGAGTAACTTTCCGCGGTAGTCGCGTTTTTCATGGTACCACTAACTTTGAATCAGGTTCCTCCTTGCCTTAGTTGCTACAGAAAAACACATGTGTCAGATTCTTATACCAATCTGAGAATTGCTATAATGACCACAAACAAAATCATCATTGAGGAACGCAATACAGCAGTGTTTGCTCTTTTGTTCCTCCTGAAATCCAATCAGTGAAGGTCCTTTTCTGCACTCTCGATGGCGCTCTGACAAAAGACCTGAAACGTGTCCAGGCATTGGACTCTGAGTGCAACAATTGCGGAAATGGCGAAAAATTGAGGTGCCAAACGGTTTGAAGTGATGCCAAGTACACCAACTATCAGCAGCGCACCCCCAAAACAAAACATACACTGATGAGATGGAAAACACATACTGTACAACTTTCAACATTCGAACCTTCGGATGATTGTTTTTGGAAGCATGCATATACCATTGCCATATCTGCAACTTCAAAGGTTGAGGTGGAAATTTCAATCTTTGTGTTTTCGATTGCAAACTTGAACTTCATTGTTGGTATTGAAACTAAAATGTCCAAACATGCATCCTGTGTACAAGATGTATTGAACCAATGGCAGGAAAGAAACACATACAATTTACAACGCATCGTCCAGCAAAGTTGCGCCAGTCATGACGTTGAGCACAGCAAAGTTGCAGAAAGCTATATACGCTTCAAACAAAAGACCTCAGCGGAACATTGAGGCAAACACCAAGCATGTGGTTTGTGGCCTTTCCGGGTGTGAACAGGATCCCACGCTGACATGAGTGGGTCTTCTTCAAACTTCCAATGCTTGGTCTCATAGGTTCATGTGGAACTACATGCCATCGTGTGTCCATCAAACGTGCCGCCGACTGTCACTGTCTGAAAACAAAATATGCTGCGGCTTTGTTTAAAAAAATGTTTTCCCGAAAAAACAAGCAATTGTGGATGTGGAAGTCCGCCATCCCTGGCCTAGGGTCTAGGCCCATGCTTGCGGACCCTGCCTATGTTGAGAATTTGCGCGCAGAGTTGGATGGGCCCAGGCCGTGGCGAGAGGTTTCGCTGGGCGGTTTCTAATCTGTCTTGTCGCATACCATGCTGCCGTCAGATTCCATGCTCTACTGTGGCGATGCCCCCAGATCTTGGCTGGCTACAGCTAGCTTGCAAACAGTCAATTTGTTTAATCATTGTTTTACCACGTAGTTGCAACAAACAGTTGTCCAGTAAGCTCAGCCAGCAAGGCAAAGTCATGCGCCCACGTTGCGCGAAGATGCGTCCACATGGCAAGCAGCTTTACTGACGAGGGGAAAAGGCAACCGTGCAAACACACGGCCAGTGCAATTAAAGCCTCCAGCACCGAAAAGTCTTAAACTTGCGCTTTGCTGATGTGACACAAGCCATGGGCAAGAGACTTTGGGCACTGGCCCCACAACCGCTCATCATCCATTTCCGGCTTTGCCAAGGAGTAGTGTCTTCACTGGGGTTATCATTGCCTACGCCGATCTCTGTCACTTGTCATGGAATAGGAATAAATTACTATAAGGAAACGCCCATGTCCATGTTTGGCCCTTGCCCTTCCTCTCCATGTCTCCGGTTACTTGACAACAAGCTCTGATCCACGGCGCTCACGCTTGATAGATATGGGGGGATGGCAGCTGTTCAGGTACCGAAAGCCAAAATATGCGACCAACTCATTGTCTGTGAGCCGGCATTTAAAAATGGCAAGTAAGCGCCGCACGCGTATTGAGAGCGCCCCTGTCTTGCCCGGTTTGTCAAAAGCCATGTTGTGGCACCGCCTTTTCCGAAAAACGACGGAGGTCGCGCAGGCGCACTGGGGCGCAAACCTCGACATGATAGAACAAGCATACAATAGGAGAACGCCCAATTGAGTATGCTTCTTTGCGGGCGTCCATTGAAAAATACTTGCGGCCACAGCGACGGCGCCACGGAACGTAGAGTCTTCACCACAAAGCACTGTCCTCCCGGACTGGCGCCTCCACTCATGGTGACCCCCCGATTCAAACGCACAACTGGACATAGAAAGAGCTGGCTCCCTTGCGCATGGGCGGCCGGGGGTCAACTCACAACATAGCCAGGATTGAGCCACGTTAGAACACCCTTGTGCGTTCAAGGAAAAATGGTCTCCGCAAGCTGTTCCTGGGGGAAGCACAGCTCTTGCTTTCCACATTGTGCGCTGGATGAGGTTCCGCAGCCATCGCCATCAAAGAATCCGGCTCCGCAGCAGCCGGGGGCGCAGCAGCAGGCGGCAGCACAGCGGCAGGCGCGTCAGGTGCTACCTCTCCTGCTGGGCCAGGGGCACCAGGAGGCGGAGGAGACACCGTTGGCAAGGTGGTCCTGAAGGCCAGCTCCAGTTGGTCCATGTGGGCAGCCAAATCCAGGAGCTGCTTCTCCATGTCAAGGTTCTCAATCACCACCGGCTCCCCAAAGGCAGCCAGCGCAGCCGCCGCGGTACCCTCATCCACACGGATCTGGGCCGAGTCAAAAAGGGCGTTTCACAAAATTCAGGCAGTGTGCTCACATTGCTCTTCTCTTGAGCCAAAATGTCCTGGTGGGACATGTTGGTGTCTTTTGTGGACATAAAACTTGCAACCGCAAGCTAAATGCAAGTGTGAATTTAAACTTGTTTACTCTTTTTTACGCTGATGATGCAGCAAGTCAGAATCAATCTGTAAAAAACGATCTATACTACTCTAAGAAAAATAAAAATATCAAAAATACCCCCCAAAAAAAAAAACTAAAAAGTTAACCAAGAATGTAAAAATATATTTAAACAAGTAGAAACATAAGTAAGCCACACTATACGATATTATAAGAGGAAGACTGTCAGATCGAACCCCATCACTCATACCAAAGGTGATAAAGGTCCTCCCCACATATAATCGATATACTTATATATATATATATACATATTTATTCATCTATATATAGTATTCCCATGCATTATATGCGGATTTACCAATACCCCGACGCTCCATGAGACCGGAATAAAATGACCTACATCGACCGCTGCCGCAGTCCAGAGTCCGGAGTGTCTGGGAGTCTGGGAAGATCGACGAAACCACCCAAGTGTCCACCAGTTACTAGGTGCCCGGCCCCAAGCAGGTGAAATATCATCGAAGGCGTCGCGCACTTCGATCCACGTGAAGCCTCCCGTGATCGAGGCATACCTGAGCGCAGGACCGATCGAGCAGTGACGGAGGTCTCTTTTTGGGGTGAAAAACAAGCCGCAGGTCTCTCCACAAACTAGCTCCACAAACTCACTCATTAGCTCTCAAAGCCAGGGTAGGGCCAGGGAAGGGCCACTCCAAAGGGGGTACCGACTCAAAATTTCCATGAGAGGCAGGCCAATACTAAAACGCCAAAAAAACGCGGGGTCCCAAAAGACATGGAAGGCCCGCCCAAGGGGGTGAAGGATTTTGAAGAGAAAAAACGGAGACAGTTCCACCTGTGAGGCATGGTGATCGGCGTCTGATTTTAAAGTCTGATGGTGTCTGAAGGGTCCTCTATTCTCACCGCTTCAAAGGCCATTGAAAGAAAGGCTGACCTGGTTTGGTAGTCTAGAATCTTTAGTGAAACAATATTTGTTGCTTGGGATTCGGACCATTAAAACATATTAAAGCCATGGTGGGCCACGAAAATCACAAAACCCCAAGATTACTTTTAGATACCCACATTGGGGAGTGTGCCATCTACTCTCTATCCACTTTACATCACCCAAACTTCAGAAATGGAAGACGAATATACGAAATGCACGGACTGTGCTTGAAGCATGAGTCACACGCTAGCTTCGCTAGCTTGTGCCCCGTTTGCGTGCAGGCGTTTCCAGGACAGAAACTTTGTTTCATTGACTTCAAATCGTTTTTCAAGGACCGAGCCTCTTCGCCTCTTTGAGTATCTTGGGCGGGTGTGATGAACTTGAAGTCCTGGGGAATAGTACAGTTACTGTATATTCAAGAAACTCAAGAATTCAGTTTTGCTGGATTCTGGTACTTGCAAGGAGTCATTTGTTGTGCTTGGATGGGTGCAAACTTCTACAAGGGCTACTGATCTTGACCCGAGCAAACAAACGAATTTGACAAGTCCTCCATGAACCCAGTTTTGGGTTGTCTTCCCTACTCCGCAAGACAGAGACGCCCCAAACCACTTCGGAGTTTCAACCAGATCCCATAATTACAATGTGTTTGTAATCGGCAACATGATGCATGTATATTTGTGTGTGGTTCGTTCATAAACATGAAAAATTGGAGTCCACGAAAAAAATGACCGCCTTCCTTGCACGCTCCTCCCGCGAGTTTTCAGACATGGTTACAAGGTGTGCATCGAGTCCATCAGGGAGCCTGTGCAGACCCGAGATCGCCGACCCGAGACTAAAAGAGTTCGGTGGCAACATGGTTTTGCAGTGTAAACCCTTTAAGAAAAACAAAATATACATGACTGTAATACATTTAAAAACAAAAATAGATCATTATCTTATATAAATATTGTATATATTGTACGTGGTTCAGGATTTCGGCGATCCATTTAGTGGGTTAGGAAGGACCCAGAAGCTCTCATAGGGCCATGTTCTTTTTATAAATGCTCTCTGGGACTGCCCAGGCGACCGCGAGCGACGGACACAGCAATGTGGGCACTGAAGTGCCAAAAAAATTGAAAGTTGAATGATTCTGAGATGATTTGAGGAAGATCCAGGTACAAAAAGGTGTGTCAAAACATGCTGCAGGATGGAGGCGTGGGCCTGGGCCAGGATGAAGGGAAAAAATTGAAGCACAGTGCTGACACCTAAGTTGACTTAAGAGATCAGTCCTGATCAGTTCCAGTTCTTCTGATTTCCCGTTGCGCCTGCCCGGCGATCGAGGAACTCTCCATACTTGCCTTCCAGCCCATATTGGGCAATATGCTCAGTACCTGCAATGGCTGAGTGAAGACCCAATGAGTCCAGTGCAAGGTTTTGAGACAACATACTGGCTGGGCAGTCTTCCAAATTCTTCAAAGCGAGGGGTCATCCCGGCCACCATGTTTCTGGGAGTCGGAATGATTCTCTTTCAAGAGCGCGGATGAGCTTGCAGAATTCTATGTATCAGGTAGATGCAAGTCATACCAGGACCAGCAGGAGGTGGAATGATCTTTCTACGTGATCGTAAGTGGTTCTTGCATGTTCTTGCAAGCACTTGTGCCATGTGCACGAGCCTATGACGTTGACCCTGTCACGGAGGGTTTGCCTCTCCTCATAACCCCTGTAGTTATTTTGTTGGTTAACCATGGAAGTCGTTGAAGTCGCACCACAGCCCTTTCCCCAAACCATAGTTGCCATAGTTTTCATGCCGGGAAAACACCAGTAAACACATATAACACGCACCTTGACTCGTTGGGCTGCTTTGGGGTCGTACAAAAGGATCCCCTCGCTTGATTGTGCACTTTGGAGGGTCCAGGCACACACACTTAGATCCATGCTCGCAAGAGCTAAATCAGTTGTGAAGTTAGGTGAACGCTTAGCACTTGACTTGACTCAACGGTAGGAAGTGCTGGATCGGCAAGAACAGAATGTTTCAACAAAGCGCGTTAGCCCTTTAGTGAAGAGTAGCGTGAACAGCTTGGACAACAGTTCAAGAGAAGCAGGTACACCGTCAGACGTCTCTGACCGCTTCCCATGACACCACTAGCTTCGTTGGCCAGAGTCGTGATGTTATGCGCCAGTTCTGTACATTAAACCTATCTGGTGGTGTCAGAGGTCCTTTGGAACAGGACGTGACACACACAGCCGTTCCTCCTGCTGCCGCCAGCCCAAGACTCACCCGAAACCGCCGAAAGGCGAATAATCGATGCTCCGGTGTGGGGAAAAAAGCGAGTCATCGTCGGTCGAGTCGAGTCATAGGTCCTCGGCGGAGTTTCGTCATCGGTCGGGTCGAGGTGTGGGCACAGAGGTCCGTGAAGATCAGCGCGAAGAGGAACATGATGAGCAGAAGCAACACGGCAGACCAAGCCATAGCCCGCAAGGTGCGCCCAATACCTCGAGTCTGTCGTGCTCGCTCGGTCATAAGGAAACCGGTTTGGGAGGGAAAAACCACCGTGGAAACATTGTGTTTTTGGGGACGTGCTGTTTTTTTTCATGACATGAAAGCCCCCTCGCTACTTGGGATTTTGACATAACACCTCTTCATGAATGGGCAAATATATGAATCAACAGTCTATATTTAACTGTTGGGTTGATGTGAATGAACATCCCTTCTCGCCGATATTCTTGGAAGGAAGAAACCAAGCAGAACTCGGATGGGCAACTGGCGGTCGGGCGGTCTACTCAACTGCTTCTTCCTTCATGCAAGGAATTATGCAGCTAAACCAGCCCTCGAGGGCCTTAGAAAATGATGTTCCAAGACAGGTGTTCAACCACACACACCCGGCTAGGACAAATGTGAGTTCGCCAAGGGCTTTGAGGTGGTCCTCGTTTGGAGTGATAGACTGGTGGAAGACGATGTCTCGGGATTCCAAGAATCATGGAAGTGGACCATGGCCGCTCCGAAGGCTGATTCTCCTCTACAAACGGCCAAAAGGTTCCACTTCCAAGCTTGTTGATTCCAGTAGGTTCATCTTCTTATCGGTCGACCCAAGTGCCGGAGGGCCGTTGCCAAGTGGATAGATGACCCAGCACTGATTGGAAGATGGATGAAGATGGGCAAAACCGAAGGAACTTGCACAAAAAGATGTCCAGTTCCACATAATGGGGTGGGTTTGGAGTCTCTTCCACATCATGTTCTTGATCTTCCACAGCAACAAAACACCTGGGCTCCGATCCAACCTCCGATCCAACGACCAGCGAGGGTGGCTCTACGGTCTCCGAAATGGCGATGGGAGACCTTAAAAGCAGACCTGGTGGTGAGTGAGCTGGCATATAACAGACATGCATATATACCTGATACCCCAGAAGAGTGATAAGTATCACTCCATGTGGAAATGATCAATCTTTTGGAAAGTGATATGTATACTCCCTGGAAAGATTAACATGGAATCTGAGAACCACTAGTACTGGTTTGACGGAGCTTCCACCAGTCTTCCTTGCAGCTCGCCATCAGGTTCGGTCTCACCGGAACCTCCGCCCGGTCCACGGGTCTCAGGGGTCAAACCTGTACACCAAGCGGCACAGGAGCAAGGTCCGTAGTGAACCTGGAGGAGTTGCGACGGACCGATCACGGCTTCAGCCGAAGAACAGCGAGCGGGCAAGGCGTTTGCCAAGGGGTCTACGGGAAACTCCCTTAGCTCCGAATTGCGCTGATCCTGAGCAATTGAGCCCCAAAAGCGAAGAACACTCATATCTTCCCATGGCACCGAAGCAATGACTGGTGTGACACCTAACTCAGTGCAGGTCAAGTACAGAAACATGACGATGACTCAAATCCCTGAGGAAAAAAAAGACGGGTGTCTCTGCGGGCTTCGCTTTTCCTTTTTGGTCGGAGCTCCTCCATCTATTCTCCCGTTTCGGGCTGGCGACCGGTCGCAGCGACCCGTCGACCGGGGGAGCTCGACGGAAGTCGCTGGAGCTCGACCGAACGCTTTCCGAAGACGAAGACGACCAGGGAGCATATCAGGAGCATCCAACCATCACCAGGTGTCCCGGCAGTATCCACCTGACCTACAAAGACGATCCGGGATCTCCAGCCAGGACACCCAGATGGTCGTATGAGGCTCACTTGGAGGCTCACGGGGGTTGTCCACACATATCGCCACCAGACAGGAAGAATCGGTCTTTCTATGGGTCTCATCCCATGATGATCACTCCACCAAATCCATCAAAAGCCGGAGAAGTCTAAGAAGCCCCAATTGGTTTGACGCAGTCTAAGCCGCGAAGGGATCTGCATGCATCTAACTATACCAGCACCCGCTGCTTTGAATGGTTTTGCTTGGATCCACAAAACCAGTCATCGTCTTCCATTCGGCACCCCTTTAGGGCCCTGGCGAATGAAGCGCACCAAGCGAACCTAGGACCGCACCGAGTCTCACCGGGTGCGGGGCTTCATCACCAGAAAAAAAGTCTTTGGCTGGGAGGGGCAGGATCTTCGGGCATTCGATTCTGAACAAACTGGCTGAATTCACCCACGAAACCTGGATGATCCAAGATATTCCACAAACGTTCAAAGACCCCGAAGCTCCTGTCCATGGGTGAAATCTCTCGTGGTTTGTGTTCTGTTGAGTCGGTTGAGTAGGTTGAGTGCACTGATCGACGAGTGACATGAAACTGGTCCATCTGAAAACCGTGTTCCCAAATAAGAGATATACCTGGACCCACCCAAGTACCCTGGAAAATGGGACATACCCTATTCAACAAGAACGACGTACAGTACGTCGTGCCCATTTTTAGGAGTACGAATAGAGGGTCCAGGTATATGCTCAATCTCTGTATCTATATGGTGTACCAACAGAATAGCGACTTGCTCATGTTGAACACCTGCTTTTGCTGGCTCACAGAAACAAAACGGAGTTGTTTAGACGAACATCCACATATGATCCTCATTCACCTCTCCGGCCGATTCTCCAGCCGATCCTGATAATGAGGAAGTGTTCATGGAGGCTGCAAAAGATTATGCCTGCATATAATGTATAATGAAATATATATATATATATATATGTATGACAAATGTGTTCCTCAATCAAATATATATATATAATATGATGCAAGTAAAAACCTCTTCTTTGGACTGTCAAAAGCCAACATCTTCCAGCCCCCAGTTGGTAAATGTCTAAACTCGATTTCGTTTGGTCCTCCATCCTTGCGTTTGACCGCTTTATCCATTGCAGGACAAAGGTAACCATGTTCCGCCAGTGGATTTGTTGGTAGGGAAAACAGTCCGCCAGAATGCTTAAAACTTAGCCACTAACGTAAGGTATAGGGTATAGCCGGTATAGCTCTTAGTCGAACCCTTCCCGTGGCTTCACCTTTTCCCCTCACCAAGGCACAATGCGGAAGGCGCGAGTAATCTTGGCCACCCGAAGGATACGCAGGAGGCGCATGTTGGTGAACACCTGCCAAAACCCATCGCTTTCTACCCATCGCTGTACCCATCGGACCTCCGAGCCGTCCCGGCCCAAGGACCGTCGGGGTGCGGTCGAAGCACAGCGATCCGAGCAAGGTGTTTCCGGAACGGTCCAAGGGTGAACGGAGTGGGGGAGAAGCAATCCCCAAACAATTGGATGGTGGATATATATATATATAGATGCCTTAAAGCAACAAGAACCGTGATTCGACAGGTGTCTGTAGAAAAATAGAAAGATATCATCTCCTTTTAAGGAACACCCGATGTTTTTTGCTGTTTTTCAGGATGTTTCACTGACCCCTTTCTCATCCTGTCCCGCCGTTCCGCTCACAGATTTACCCATGAAATGAGGCTACGCGCTACTGAATGTCTTTAGCTTGAACCCATGGGAAAGACTCCGAAAAATATGAGCAACAAACATGTTGGTGTTTTCAGGTGTGTATAAACCGACAAAAATGCAAAACGCTTAAGAGCAACCTGCAAAACATGTTCCGGGGGAAGGTTCAAATCAATGTAAACATTGCGGGTTACTACGGGTACAATTCGGGTTCGGAATGGGTTGGCACGGGTTGCGAAAACATCATGTTTTGTCAAATACCCGAAGTATTCTTTGTTAAACAGTGCGGGCTAGTACGAGTAAAGTACGGGTATAGCACGGGTTTGAAATCCACCCATTGCTTTTGTATCACACTGTGTCTCAGGTGTCAAGATCTTTGGAGATGTTCTTCACCACTCTGTATAGTCACAGTCAGAGCAGACACTTTCTATGAATTGTGTCATGTGTTGTTCTTGATTCTCTTTGTGCAGTCTGTATGCGAGCTGGGTGCAGGAATGAAATTGGACCTAGGCACGAACGGACGCCCATTCAATGCCGGTATTCTTGAACAAATGCCTTTTAGAATGTCAAAAACAATGAGGTTTTGGAAAACCCGATGTTTTTTGACAAAGCCCGATGTCTATTAAAGAATGTTTGTGACAATCCGATGCTGTTGCGCTCACCCCTTGTTTACAGGTTTGGGTGCTGAAGGTAGATGGTAAAGGCTATTATACGAGATTATCCACCCGAGCTAGGTCAACGGAAAGTTCACGCGGAAAAATGCTTCCACGGTCCGAGCGGCGTTGGCTTGTTCTGTGTCGTTGCTCGATGAAACGATGACCTGCGGGACGGCCGAGCCGAGAATCTCTCGGGGACCGGTGCGGCGCCACGTCATGGGCACCCCACTCGATCGAGGCCAGGACCTCCTTTTGAGTGTGTGGGAATAACCAGCTTCTTCAGTTCGTACACGAACTGAAGAGGAGTCCCATCCAGTATCCAGTGACCTTCTAAATTGATACATGACCGAACTGGTGACCTCTGATCAAGTTCGGTCACTTCGGATTAAAGCGTTTGGAATGGATTTGGAGACAACCTTGAGCAATGATGCCCTTTGGGGAAACATAGGGGCCGATTTGACACCACATACCTACAGGGTTGTTCACTTGAGGGATCTTTAGGGGTATCCCATTGGTATCCCCTCTATTATAAATCCACCCAAGGTCTTAGGGCAGGCCACCTTGAGGTCCTGGGAAACTCCAATGACCAGCAAGTCCACCACCACTCTTGAGGGATCGGAGACCAAGTCCCACCTAGAAGCCCTGGGAGTCGTGGGTGCATAAAGAACTATTGGACTCTACCCAAACGCCCATGGACCCTGAATATGGAGGGATCGGACCCTCATATGGAGCGGTGCGGACCCTCAAATCCTTTTGGTTTTGAGGGACCAAGGGTTGTTTGGAGCACCTGGGTAGATTTTAGACTACAAAACCAGGATCAACCGTTCTTTCAATAGTCTTTGAAGACTAGGGTGCTAAGAGCGTCTTCGTGGCCAACCATCGAAGTGCCCAAAACCCAGAGGTCGGACTTGTGGTTGGTGGTTGCTGCCTATTCACCAAAGCCTTCCTGTTTGAAGATCCAGATTCTCAGAGTTTTTCGAAGTGTTCACGCATGCTTCAGCGCCAGCATGTGCCAGCTGGCAGCTGGTTACTTAGTAAGTACTTCTGGACATGATGTTTCATTATGCCAATGCCTTTGCCCGTTAGCAATGATGTTCGGCTCTCTTTAGGATAAAAAAAGAGCTTTCGTGAAGACGCTCCGACGCTGTGTACTCGACGGCCCAGCACGACCCAGTGGCCCAGCACCACTCAGTGGTGCTGGGCCAGCGCGGATGGTTACTCTTGGATGCAACACGACATGGGATACCGGAGGGTCTTGTCCTTATTCTGTCCTTCTTCTTGGAATGTCTATAGTCTATGACTTCTTGTTCTGAACGTCCGAAAATCCTTGGAAATGTGATGCAAGCATGAGCCCATGGTGTTGTTGTTGACAGTACACTCGATCCCCATGTCCCCATTCGACAACATCAAATTGGGGGAAGAACAAATTGGAGGAAGGAACAAAGAACGCCGACACCAAACCTAGGACTGGAAGTGAAAGCATCACCCAAATTTTCCACGGTGGTTGTTGGATGGAAGATATCTATAAACCGTCCTTTCCGTGGTGCTGGGTCAATGCATGTCAAAGCCGCTTGTTTTTCGTTCACTTTGGTGATTCTTGGTGCAGGAGTGCAGCAAATGGAAAGGGTCATCAAAGAGTGAGCTCCCGTCAAGTACCTTTCACAGAACACCCAGAAGAACCCTCATCGTCAGATCCTGGCAGTGTTCTATCAAAGTGCACCTCCCGACTGAAAATCACACATTGGAACCATTGGATTCCCATTTTGGGGAGCAAAGGTGCTTGTAGGAAAAGTCTTCCAACACGTCCCTGGAAGTCTTCCAGCACACGCAGGGGAAGCACCAAAAAAACACACCGAAACCTCTGGACTCCGGACGTTCTCCCAGTGTTCTCGCGGGACGTTCTCCCAGTTCTCCAGATTCGCCTCGATGACAAACTCGAACAAGCTGCTGATGACAATCGCTGCATCCTGAGAAAACCAATCGCTGCATCGAGCAACGGCATGGACGAAGCGAAGCGACCAGTGGAATCTGGAAGCTGTGGAACGAAAATATGTTGTTTTTTTTTAAAGTAATATGATATATATATATATAGTACAGTAATCATTATACTCTTCTGAATATAATTTGGTATGAAAGCCATAGTAGTTACTAACATAAAATGCCATCGGAATTCCAGTTCCTTTTGATGCTGGTAGTTTTCTCCGTTGTGATATATCTTATAGTCGACTTTACAGTAGAGGTTGGAATCAAAATAAGCCCAGGAAAAACGAAATAACTTTACAAAGAGCAGCCTCAAGTATAACTTTTGGGGATGTTTTTAGTGTGGATAGGTGTGGCCACAATGTGTGTGTGTGTGCGCGTGCTCATGTGTTCATGTCTGCTTCAAAAGAATACGTTTCTCTAGAAAGGAGATGGGATGAGATGGGGATGAATACGGGGTGAGCATCAACAACCTGGTGAAACGGTTCAAAAAAAAGACAGCTCCATTCGTATTGCACTGATCATCGATTTAGAGTAACTAGCCATTATGCAACTCGCGGTACGTCACGGTCCCCTTCCAGATCTTGGGTTCCTTAAATGTAGAGTGCAACTACATATCTCATATCACCGGAGCAGCCTTCTTCCTTCAGAAGGCCCCGCTCCAAACAATGTCCGTCACTCGTCAGAAGCCTCCAGCAACATCAGTTTAGGCCGCGTCCGCCAGTATCCTCTGGACATGAACAACATATTTGTTCACCCAAAAACCTTCAACCGCATTGCTGATCAGAGCGTCTTTTTGACCTACAAGCCCAAAAAGTTTAAGAAATGATCACAAGATACTAAGATATATCACAAGCAACTGTTCCCCATGTGAACAGGCGCCCATGCCTCACTCTGCTCCTTTTGCTCTTACCGAGTGGCCAGCAACATCCATCCCCAGTCTTCACCCCAGAAGATGCGTATGCCACGCACCAAAATCCGTAGGAGCAGTTCAGATGTGAAGAGAAATGTGTAGATGGAGGAAATCCTCGACGACCGGACCGATCGGGGAAACCACTGGAACCCACGCACGAGGAACCCCCAAAAACGACGAGACACGTGACGCAGCGACTGACAGATCCGGAGATCCACGGAAGACGAAAACGTGAACTACTCATCGTTCACCCCACGAGGTAGGCCTGGAGATGCGGTCGACGAGGTAGGCCTGGGGGTGAGACTGGTCAACACTAGTCATATGAAATATAGCTATTAAGATTGGACTGTTGGCTCGTGTTGGAAGGGGGAAAGAAACCATCGAACCATCTACCATCATCCACTGCTTCCATACCTAGTCAGTCCATACCTCCAGCCCCTCGACCCGGATCGATCCAGGTCCGACCGACCTGTCTCTCCGGCACGCGACGGGTGGGACCTGCCCCCTGAGCGGAAGGGATTCACAGTGGGTTAGTTTACAATAGTTTACATGGGACATCTGCCACTGAAGAGAGACATGGACTTACCAGGAGTGCTCAAGACATCTGCCACATGACGGTCTTTGGCTTGCCTTCCGGCCAGAAGCTCGTGGTTGGGCCCCTGTAGACGAACGCCAAGCCACCAGACGTCCCTTTCACAGCGAGGTCGGTACTTGAAGTGCGGACGAGCAAGAATCGCTTGCTCGAGTCCGACACGGACGGTCGCTGGCGCGAGCTGGTGACCAACCCAGAACCTTCTGGAATGAGAGCGGCAGGCCGGTCACCATCCATGCAGAAATTCTGCGCGTGGCTCAACAAACTTGAAACAAACACCCAAACGCTCGAAGAAATGCCACATGGTTTCAGGGGTCAATGTATAGGCACATACCAGGGCCCCCAAACAAAAGAGGTGGTTCAGTAAACCATGGCCCGTTCCGGGGCAATCGTATGCAGTACCAGACCTGGACGTCTCTGCGACTGAAGGCTCGATCGGACCCACAAGAACGACCGGTTCAAAGCTCCAGGAGAATGCAAAACCCTCTGGCTGAAACCCCGGTTTAAGATGAAGTTGCTCTTCAATCCATGCCTGGGGTTATTCATCAAGATCCTACATGACCCCCATTCAGTTTTTTTCAGAGTAAGATGTTGGCCAAGCGTCACGAAGAAGAACTGAGGCATTTCTGCACCCGGTTCGACAGAGGCCCACTCCACCTGGAGAGCGACGACATCGCAACAGACTGGTTCGATCTGGATTCAGCCATGTTTGCTCGGGGTCCAGGTAGGCTTGGCAACAAGAATCAATGATGAACACCCGGTGGTTGTGATCCAAAAACGATGAAGAGTCCTGAACATTCAACCTCAATTGTCCCAAACCTTTGAAGCTATTCGTGGACGCTTAGGGCCTAGAATGACCCCAAAAGGTGCTCCTGTGATGAAAAAAGGTGGCTCAGAACAACCATGCAGCGTTTTCTTGATTCGCCACTGTCAGCCGATGCTCTTACTACTTCATCTTTTGAGCAATTCCTTGGACTCTTAAGCACAGTGACAGGGCTTACCCGGACCCCGGACCCAAAACCAGTTGAAGCCTTTGCGGACGGATCTGAGAGGCCTAGACTGGGTGGTTACGAAGCTGCTGGTGGGTCATAGGGTCATCACGACAAACTCGTTGTTCACCACGACGAGCAACACGGGCATGACTGACCCACCGCCGTTGAGTGCTTGGGGGGCTCGCTGAGTGCTTGGCTTGCGCCACTCGGCCAGTCTCGGCCACTCTCGGCCAGGCTCGGATGGCTCGGATGGCTCGGGCTGGTCGCCACTTCGAACATCGCCCAGCGCTCGGCGGGCTGGCTCATGGCCCAAAGAAGCAACTGCAAAAAGAATACATGAAAACACCCTATATATTATATAGCTATCTATATATATATATATATACATCTATATACTATATACCATGATCATCCATTATGGGTGTCTAATAAGTCTAAAGATCCCGAGTATAGCATTCGGTGCATGAACAAGTGACCTCCAGAGTGGATGACTTCGTCCACCGGGTTCACCCGCCCCCGTCCTGCCCCTCCCGTCCCCTCCCGTCCACCTTCGTCGCCCGTTCCCCGCAACGAGTTAACGGGCGGGTGCAGTGCCTGGATTGCGATGAAGATGGAGTTGGTCACCTGGAGATCGGCCCAAAGATGGGGCCAAAGGATCTCAAAAGGATGTGTATGTTAGATTCAGGTGACTCCCTTTCTATCCCTTCTCGGGTCGACTCGTCGATGTCCAGAAACCGAACCCCAGGGGGTGTCGGTCTCATGCCACGCCGAACGTGTCGGGCTCCCATGTCTTGAGCTACACAACAATGGGAACATGTGAGAGCAAGCAAGAGTGGGCGAAATTGCTTGGGGTGACATGGATCAGCGGTGGACAGCAGAGCACATGTCTGGATCGGCTGGCCTTTTTCATGGTGCGTGGCACCAAAAACAAGGCACAAAGCTGCGTGCCGAATCCAAGCAGCAATGATCGTGGCGAAGAAGGCTTCGAAGAACCAGCCATTCACGAACTTGTCCAACTTCCTCCAAATGAACCTCAACCAGGACTCCTGTTCAAACATCGACCGCTGAACAAGTCGGGGCTCGCTGAGATCTTCCCCACCAGAAGAGATCCCGAGAGACTCCTCAAAGAAAACATTTGAAAGATCAGAACTATATATATAATATTACTGTGTATTGCAGTATATAATATGGCACTGTCCATATTTATCATTATTTGTCTATACCAGCATCTTGAGTTGAATAACCTTTGTTGGAGTCCCATCCTTCTTGATCCTTCTTGACTCTGTACCTTTTAGATGCCGAAAGAGAAGTGACCTTCACCAACCAAGGGATCAAGTTCGGTCACAAACGGAAGAACCAGGAGGGTGCTGATGTGCTGCAGGAGGTTGCTCATGTGCTACATGTGCACTAGCTGATCGGTGGTCTCCGGCTGAGGGGCTTTCTTGGGAAGATGATGGAAGATGTGAACCTGAGGCTTTCAGCGCTTTCAGGGTGTCAAACAACCTGGGATGCCAAAGAGCAGCATATCTCCTTCTCATGACATCATCTTCGTGCCATGCTCTAGCCAACTCTATACTATCTAGAATCTTCGGGAAGGTGTCTTCATTTACATCCGATAAAATGACTTCAAAGGATCCTCCTCCTCGTCCTCATCCTCCTGGCAACGCCCCAAAAGGCGAACGCGAAAACATGGCAACGCGCCCCAGAGCTCCTCTGGCTTCTTGTCAAAGCCTCCCATGCAAAGCGCATCCCCCTGGCCGGCCGCCCACGTGACCACCGCATCGCGGGTTTCAGTCACCCCCCCCATCCCGAGCACGGTCGGATGGAGTGAGGGGTCAATGTCCCATGGAGTGTTTGGCTTCAAAATGCTTGATCCCATGGAGTTTGGGATCCGAAAATCACCAGTCCTTCATCCCAAGAAGGGAAACTTTCTGAAAGTTGCTGACCAAAAACCGGGCGACCTGAAGTGAACCCCCTGGCATCTCAAGTTCACCTTTGAAGGTCCTGGAGGTGGAACACATCCATAAACACCCACACCCACAAGTTTCTATGGAGCTGGTCCAGGGTATCCCCTGTCACATCCACCCTACTGGATGGGGTGCCCAAGAGAGGTTCAGTGACCTGAACTAGGACCTTACTCGGGTACCTGTGGGATAGGCTATAGGGTACTGGGATACCTCTGTTGGTGGATTTCTTTTCGCTGGCAGTTGATTGATCTTTCTGTGAAAGAGAGTGTCCATCACGGAAAAAAGTGAGGGTCACGTGGCCGTGGACGGATGCGTGGCCGGTCTTGTTGTGTCTTGGTCATTTCGGATTCACACTTCGGGTCACCTTCACATGTGTCCAGTGTCCTGCAGTTCGTTTGGGTCATGGAACCTCAGGGCGCCCAACGTCGAGACGCAGCGTGAAAATGTTTGGCGAAATGCATGCTCGAAGAATCGAAACATCCTGTTCCCAACATGACAGTATGAAACTCATGGTTCGACTCAAGCTGCCAATCCAAATGGTACAGCTGTAATAAGACTCAACAAGATAACATGGCAAAAAGTAAGTATCGCTGATCTCCGCTGCACAGCAACGATCGAACTCGTACCTTCTGGTTTCTTCAGTTTATCCGAAAAATCGGTCAGACCCCTTGAAATCCAGTTCCTTCGACCCCCAGAGCCTGAGAGCTGCATGACTCTTCCGTTTCTGGGACCGGTCAAGCCTTCTCACTGACGGAACGACTCGTTCACTTCTCCAGCCTTCTGACGAACCCAATCCATTGAGGCCATACTGCTGGTCCCCGACTCATCCCCCTGCGACGACCGCGCGAGTGGATGGACCGCTGCAAAAAGAACGCGGCGGAAGCCGGAAGACGCCCCACGGGCGCGAAGAACTGAAGTTCTTCGGAGGACACTGGTGCGCGGCCGGGTCTATGGATGATAAAGGGGGTCCTTTAGGTAGACCCAAACCAATTTAGCCAGGGTGTTGCTGGTGCACCCCAGCAATGGCACCCAGACGATCAAAAAGCCCGACTGGCCGCTCAAACCAATGGATTTGAGATCCCAAAGCCCTCCAAAGGTTTCAAGTCCAGTCCCTCAAACCCTCTGAGGCTCGTGTGGTGTCTGGGTCGTGTTTATGTCGTTCGCGGCCGCAAAAAGGTGTCGTTCCTTTGAAAGGGCCTGGCCTCGTTGGCTCCTGGGTGGATGACCGTGGAGCTCCAGTTTCTGGAGTTCATTCCCCGAATGACTTGGAGTCCCATCCTTCCTGACTGGTCCATCGGCGGCCGGCCTAGACCTTCACCAACCAGGGGCTCCACTTTGGTCCCCCCATGGATTTCGGGCGCTGTTCAACCACCGAGCCGAGGTTGTTGTGGTTCTTGACCTGGGGAAAAAACGACGGTCTCGTATCTTCGCCCGGTCGTGCGGACGGGGAGGAGCAGTGTTCAAAACCCTGTTTGAAAGCCTTAACTTAGACCCTAACTTCATGAAGGTCCATACCTCTCTGGGGTGGGCAGTGGGGTGGTGCGGGTAGAACCACATGATAACTGCGGGTCTACCAAATTCGATGCAGAACGGCGTCAAGGAAAAACACATGACAGTTTCAGCAGCCTTAGCGTTTGTGCTGAAAGTGAAGTTCTCGGATCTGCGATGGACACGCTGCGCGGTCTAACTGCCAAAGCGGTGGACAAGCTGCTGGCCAGGCCGAAGTTGCTGCTCTGTGACTGCTCTGTTTCTCTGCCATCTCTGCCGCCTCTCTTCGTGAAATCCTTCAATTATTCGTGTGTTTTTTCACGCGCAGCTCCTGATTCTCCATGTCGCTCTGCAGTTTGCCCGGTTCTGGTGTAGTTCTTGCGCCACGCAATCGGCTCATGCACCAAAACTACTTCTCTCCAACAGCTGTGCAGCAATGCGTCCCACTTAACCAGTAGAGACGTGAGGTTCATCATCTGGGGAACCTGCCAGAGGGGGGAAGCTGCCAGAGGGAAACCATGTATCCAGGCAGTGGGTTGTTGTTTACCTGGTGACCAGGTGCTACTTCCTCAATCCAAAGAAGGAGCAGGTGATCTCATCACTGTAGCATGAAAAAGAATGGTGAATCACGACATGTGCTGTGGGTGTGGGCCGGTCTTTCCTGGACATGCTAATGTTTGCATATTTTTGTTTTTCGGTCATTCCCGCACCCATGATGAACATTGGCAAAATTGGCAAGGTGGAAGACCTTGCGGCAAGAACTTGCAGGGTCCAGGCGACTTGACA